TACTCCATCATAAATGGTGACGGTGTTGGGATATTCTCCATCTCTACTGACAAAGAGACCAGAGAAGGGATACTTTCCTTAAAGAAGGTAATTACAATATGTATTTCTCATGATTTAGGCAACTCATGAATCTTTTTTTTTTTTAATGAAAATTTGATGGATGTATAAAAAATCCAGTTTTACAGGTAAAATTGTAAAACTTTTGCTCTTTGAGATGCAATTATATTTTAATTATGGATGAATCTGATCCTTGGAATGTTCTTTCTGGAAAAGTATTATACAATGGAAGGATTTGATGTGGAATAAGACATGAATGTGCCTCTTCTTTTTTCATTTTTGTGTTTCTGTTCATTTTCTCCTTGAGATATCCAAGTGACATCAGTAAACAACTAAATGTAGTACTTGAATTAAATACAAGAAATTAGAATATTATTAAAATGAAACTAAGGTGATATTAGAAACTAAGGTGTTCCAAGAGAACACTATGGATATTAATTAAATAAATAGAACTCTACTTGTAATAACTTAGGAGCTCTGGTGGCATAGTGCCTAAGGCATTTGACTGCTAACCAGAAGGCTAGTCATTCATGCCCACCACCCATTCCTTGGAGGGAAGATTGTGCAATCTACCTCCGTAGTATTACTCCCTGGGAAACCCAGGGAGGTGTCACTATTTATCATATGAAACTCGACGGCAGTGAGTTTGGTTTTTGGTTTGGTTTGTAAATAATTTTAGAAGTAAGGTTTCTTTAATAATTGATCAAAAACATTCAACAGTGCACTGAAAAAAATTCTATGAAGGTTTGTAAATAAGTCCATTTCAAAATCTCCACAATTCTGATACAAAAATAAATCTAGAAATATTTTAAAGAGAAGTTACAAAACTTTTACGATTTTTTTTTACTAAGTTACAATTAGTTTAAAGTGTCTTGGAAGGGATACAGGTAAAAGAATATAAAACATTAAACAGCACTTGGAGTCACTGAATCCTTGGAACAGGCAGTCCCCAGGTTACAAATGAGGTCCATACCTAAGTGTGTCTTTATGTCTAAGTATGTCTGTCAGGAGCTCTGGTGGTGTAGTGCCTGAGGCATTTGACTGCTAACCAGAAGGTTGGTGATTCAAACTCACCAGTCACTCCACAAAAGGAAGAATGAGCAATCTAGTTCCATAAAGATTTACCATGTCAGAAACCCAATGCGGGTCACTATGAGTTGGAATCAACTCAACGGTAGTGAGTTTGTTTGTTTGTTTATGTCTGTAAGTCAGATTTGTAGATAAGTGGGAACAAGTACCTGTTTCTTATTTAGCCTTGCTTTAGTGCAAGAGAGGCAATCATGGTGGTGAAGAGGGAAAAACACTTGGCTCCTAACAAAAAGGTTGTGGATTGGAATCCACAAGCCACTACATGAGAGAAAGATTTGACTGTCTACTTCTGTAAAGATTTAAATTTGATGGAGGTATAAACCCCATGGAGTAGTTATACTCTGTCCTATAGTGTCTCTATGAGTTGGAATCAAATAGATAGCAGTGGGTTTGGTTTGGTTGGTTGATACAAGAAAAAATCTTGGAGCCTTTTGCATGATTTAAAAGCTGCATGTGCAGCAAGTACAGGAGATTGTGATGAAGAATTTGTTGTAAGTAGTGGTTGATTCAATCATATCTACTCATCTAGTGCTGCTGAATCAATTCCAACTCATAGAGACCCTGGAGGACAGAGTAGAACTGTCCTATATGGTTCCCAAGGCTGTAAATCTTTAAGGAAGGGACTGACACATCTTTCTCCAGCAGAGCAGCTGGTGGGTTCTCACTGTGCATATTTATGGTTAACAGCCAAATGCCTCAATCACTGTGCCACTGAAGGGTGAATTTACATAATATTAAAGGGCAAAGACAAGTTGCCCGTAAGTTTGACATCTATAACTACAGACTGCCTGTACTCAAAATGAAGACACAAACTCTGTTTGAATTGTATTTATTAATTATATATGATATACATATACATAATATATATATTATACATATATATTAATTATATCTTATATCTAATATATTACATATAATTATATATTTATTAATTATATTAAAACATTATACCATTATATCATTTAAATATGTTAGTACTACTGTTGAACAGAAACATAGCAGAGAACTTCATAAAACTACTTAAAAAGCTGAAATACAAAAAAAAAAAACAAAAAAAAACCCACTTAAATTAGATGTCTCTCTCCAGATATCTTAGGCATTCTTAGTGGGAGATCATCTAGGCCCTGACAGAGTTTAACTTTCTTCCTGGAAATTTGGTTTCGGTTCTTGGTGCATGAGTCTCCTTTCTTCATCTTCTCTCCCATATCCTATTGCATGATGTTTTCTTCCATTTTCCTCCAAATAAATATGTGAATGCTAACCAGAAGGCTGGCGGTTCAAACCTATCAGCCACTCCTTGGAAGGAAGGTTGGGCAATCTACTTGCATAGTGATACAGTTTCGGAAACCCAAGGAGAGGTTGCTACAAGTCGGTCCAACTCGACGGCACATAACAACAACAACTCATGTTTTATGCTTCAAACATATATATCCTTGTAATTGTTTTTAGTGTTTTCAGATAACTGAAATTTATACTGTGTAGCAATTCTGTGAATGCCATTATTTTACATTGTGCTAATCTAAATCATGTGAAAGTTTTCACCATGTCGGCTAATACCCAAGGAGGCAGCGTTGGCTTAATAGTCATGGAGAAATCAAGCCAGCTTCTATGAAAACATGAACTACTCCCTGGTCCTGACACCTCAAGATGCTATTCTTTTCACTCCTATGAATCTATTATGAGAACCAAATCTATTGTTCTCTACCTTTAAAAACACACAAAGAAAACAAAACAACACTCATTGCTTGCTATTAAGTTTATTCTGGCTCTAATTTTTATGGAAGCAGACTACCACCGTTTTTTTTTTTTTTTGCAGAACTACTGTTGGGTTTAAACTACAGCTTCCAACAGGTTCATTCCAGTTCATCCCCTGCTGAGATTTAACTGAATCAGAATCTACATTTTAACTAGCTCTCTGGAAATCCTCCACATATAACATGCATACGTAAGCTCTTTTACGCGAATCACCCTGGGATCTGTAAAAATCACCTGGGTATATTGTTAAACCATAGATCCTTACTCAGTTTATCTGGAGTAGAAATGCAAATTCTCAGCCAGGGGCCAAACTGGAGTGAACATTCTGAAGCCGTGGTTTGAATTGCCAACCATTTGGTTAGTAGTTATGTGCTTAACCACTATGCCACCAGGGCTCTTTTTGCTGCCTTTAAGAGTAGGTAATTCTCATGTCATGGTAAAGATGAAGTGTAATGCAGACAATTAGGAAAGATGCAACTCTTGATATAGTGTGTCTTGGTGTTTAAGTGTGCTGAGACTTCAGCTGGAGAATCTGGTAAAGTTCAGATCTCTTGGGCCTGTTTCCATATATTCCAATTAAGTAAGATGGAGTGGGGATGAGAAGTTTATCTTTTTAACAAATGTGAGTCTACTGTCAAATATATTTTGAGAACCAAACCAAACAAATCAAACCCACTGCCATCAATTTGATTTCAACTCATAGTGACACCCATTGGATATCCAAGGCTGTAAATCTTTATGGAAGTAGATTGCCTCATCTTCCTCAAGTAGAGCAGCTGGTGGATTGGAACTACTGACCTTATGGTTAGCAGCCAAATGCCTTACCAAACTTTTATAGTAATGTGCTACCATAGAAATTGAAGTGACTCTGATATTTGTACATACGTTTCTATTTGAATATATAAGATCTTATGAATTCTTCTCCCAATAATTAAAATTTTATATTAATTTCAAAAACAAGGATTAACTTGTCTATAGATTGGTACTAAAGAGGGTTACTAAACAGAACTCAAAGTGCATGAACTCTTCTGAAGCAAATCAGAAGTAATAATTGGTGTACATGTATATATGTGTGTAAAAAAAAAAAAAAAAAAAA